ATTAATAATACTAACAAATTGATATTTTTCTAAGTTTGACCTACGTTTGCTTCTGTTTAACGTCGTCATGGTTGCTAGGTGACTGGACGTACACCGGAGTAAGGACGGGAGGCTAGACCGTCCAAATTCAGACACTTTTTTTCCGGTCTACCAAGGACCCGGCCCACCTCGACCGGGTGGGTCCTTCCACGGACCCGGCTTGCCATTTTTTGACACAGCCAATGTCAAAAAAGAAAAATAATCAGGATTAATTGTGGTATTTAGCCGATAACGATTAATATGACGATTAATCCCCTGGAGTCCCTGGACTCCTGCATGTCCTAGTCACGTGACCAGTTTAAATCACTCTAGTGAGAAAGATTTGCTCTCTGTATAACTTCAGGCTATACATCAGTTTTTGAATTGTGTTGACAGAGCAAATTAAACCAGAGTTATGATAAATAAATTACAGATTTTTTTTTGTTAATCATATTTAAGTGTAGGAGCATCAAGCGGACTGACCGGGACCTGGTGGCATTAATTGTATTAATCGTCAAGTCCCAAAAAAATAATCGATTAAAGTTTTTCTGATAATTAACTGCACACGATACAATTCAGCCCAACCCTTTGAAGAAACGTTTGGACCACACTTWACAACAGAAACATCCATTTCTATCCACTCTTACTGTGGGGCTTGATGGAAAAAAGCTGATGTTTGATGGAATTTAGCCCAGCTGAAATATTGGAACTCTTCAAGATTTCTTCAGAAAGATTCTAGTTTTTAATTGTTTCTTGCTTTATTAAACCCTGATCCATCCAACTACACAGTGATAGAAACTATTTTAGATGACTGAAAGTGGAGGTGAGGAGGAAGTAGCAGCTGTTCAGTAGGGTTAGGGTAAGTTTTACTCTGATGTGTTGAGCAAAAGATTGTTTCTTTTACATCAGATTCTAAGCCCAGGATTTAATTGGAAGTAAGATAATGAAAGTATCAGTTTTTTTTATTATTTCTCCCCATCCCTCTGAATTTAATTAAATAGTGAGACACCTWGAAACTCCAACAACCACTGTCCAGTTAGTACCTTAAACTACCACACCGCAGCTTGTTGAGAGGGAAACGTGAAAACTGAACAAGAACCAGGTTTGTTCTTGTCGGAACATTTCATCATTCTCAAGAAACTCGAGCGTAAAATTCCTGAGAATTGTAAAAACTTCAGCTACAGTAGAAAAGCAGGAATATCAACATTTCCACCGCACCCACTTCAAATTTCAACCAGTCACACAATAGTTGTCGGATACCACAGGAGACGAAGGTTCTGCCCAGATGATCCGATAACAACATGTTAAAAATAAAAATACTAAATCAGAGAATATTTACCTGCTGTTCTAATTAATACCTTACGTCACATCATAACAGGACTGTTGCATTCAGACTTGTGTTATTTTAAGGTTCAACATATAAGAATCCAGGTAACCTGAGCTGCATCAAGTGATGTAAAGAGTACCGCAGTAGTTTCACAGATATACACATGCAGGTACTAGGGGTGCAACAATACATGCACCTGTATCAAACAGTGCTTTAGGTTCAATACACACTATGTATGGAACAATACAGATTTTTAAATTTATTTTATCAACTTGTCTTCTGAAGATGCTCTGTGTTGAAGGATCAGTGGATCTGTGTTCGACTACTCCACCTAGGCTGTATTTTTGAGCACAGGTCTACTGATAAAACTTGCTGTTTCAGCAACATTTAATTTAAAAACTGTACTTTTGAGGTTAAACAAATGTTCATAATTTACTTAAATAAATTACAAGTCAAAAGGGGCATGGACATTTCTCTGTTTTTAATCGAAAAAATTATTGAACCGTGAGACTAAAGCATCGAACCGAACCYTGAATTTTCTGTACCGTTGCACCCTTAGCAGGAACACACTCCACGTAAAACCATGTGGAAGCTGGAGTCACATGACTGACCTCCATCAGGCTGCCTGTAGTCTGCAGAGGTAAACAAATATGGAGGAACCGGACAAGCGTATAATCTCTGCGAAGATATTCAGGTGGAAATAAGAGAGTCTGCTGCTAAACGCAGAATAGAAAGAGATCAAGTCAAAGTTTACTGTTTTAACCCGACATAGCTTTTCATCTGCATACAAATATGTATCAGCAATACAAACTGCCTGAATACTTTACTACAAACATTTTTTTTAAATTGACGTTAACATTGTTGACATATTTTCAGTCGCTTCAGCTCTTTCTGTAGGTAAACAAACACGTGGTWGTTAGCGTCCAGTCACAAYTTTAGCTTACAGATTATAATGTATGCCAGGTTAATCACAATGTGCGGATTTATGAAATAGTTTCGATCCGTCTTCATGACATGGCAGCACGTTTTGATTGCAGCATGTCAAAACTGAAAAAGTTCTCTAAAGTCTGTTTGTGCAGCCCTCTTTTATTCAAAGCTGTTTTAGTTTGAGGAAGTCACATCCCGAACAAAACACGGGAACAAAGAGCAGAAGAGGAAATCTTCAAGAAGACTAACGCAGCTAAAAAAAATAAAACAGGAGAAAACTCGCACCCAGCCTGATCTGATCAAAGTCCAGCAGGTCTGACGATCCCCGCTGCACATCCGTGTGCCAACACATGGAGAGCAGGGATAATAAAATGAGCTCTGCAGCAGGTCCAACGGGGCCAAACGGCACAAAACACCAGCCGTTTTTATAAACAGGCCTGAAACTTCATGATGATCTGCCTCAAAACTAAACTACTGACATCAGGTTTATTACAGGTTTCAATCTGGAGCAAAACCCTTCAAACTATTTCAAGTTAAACCATGTGTCTACAGTGACCTTTGTTCAGACTGTTTGACCTCCACTAAACACACTTTCTCCTGTCAAATACAGAGTAAAAATAAAATAACCTGACAATAAAGTCAAAATTTTTAATTTAGTTTTCTTTTCCTTGACATTTTGATTTTGTATGCATCACTGTTTATTTTTTGTTTCTTTTTTTTATGTATTTTTTTATTGGATAACTATATAACTTGGATAACATTTTACTGTTAATGTACAGAGCTCATAAAAGGTGCCTCACCTTTCAACATTCAGGTAAATTTTGTTAAAAGAGACAGCTGTTATTATCTTAAGGGAATAGAAATGTTTGTGAAACCTTGGGTTCGTATGAGCCTGAAGGAGTAATCCACTTTAATCCAGGCAATAAGATTATGGAACAGCATGGAAGATGAGGTTAAAAATGACAGATCTTTGTATATATTGAGGAGAATAATAAAAACTAGTATTCTGAAGAAATATGGAGAATTATAAGTGAATTCATGCTAACTGTTGTTTGAGTTGGTGTTTTAAC